GCCAGGAACGCATGTGTGCATCTCCCAGGGCAGTAATTCAGCATTTAGAAAAAGTAAACGTACCATTGTAACACACACAGCAGATAGCTGAGTTCCAGCCACCAGTGAAATAATCTGGCCCGAAGTTTGCATTCCATGACCTCTGTACTCTGATGGGAAGGAGGCCATAGGGACTGACTGTAATTCCCCCAGTCAGAACTGCCCAGCCCTGGTACAATTTACTGCTGCACAGGAACAGTGCTAATTTACACCAGTGGTGCAACACCCTCCTTCTTGCCAAGGACTCTGTGCTCCAAAGACTGAAGCAGGACAACGGAAGGCATAGCATAAACAACAAGAGGAATCCTGTAAGTCTTTCTGTACCACCAATATGATGTTGTACCTGGCAGAGAAAGGCTGTATCATGATGTTACCTCTCAAATACTTAAGCTCTCTCAACTTGATCTAATCTGCTTGTCGAAGAAAGGGTATTCTCCTGGTTCAGGATTTTAATCTTTGAGGAACGAAGTCCTTCGTATGTAGACTTCCCCATGTTATCACTCAGATGTAGCTGCTGAGCTGCTCAGTTAGTTAGGGCCTTCACTTCCAGTCGAAAAAACAAGTGCAGCAATGATTATATCTGGCTGTGATTTCCTTGTATTCTCCCACCCCTTGTTGCACAGGCTATCATATCATTTGCATCTTTTGTAAGAGGTCATTCCTCATAGTCCCCTTCCCATACAGTTTATGATATTTTGGAAGCAGACTGTGAATTTTCTTATCAGTAAAATTAGGAAAACAGTATTTTAGTTGACTGAACTAAAATTGTTCACAACACTTTTCTTCCTAGGAACATTTGCAGTAAATAAATTAGATCAAACTGTTCTCCTTTTTATGTATAGCCTTATAAATAAGAGTGGTAGAGGGAAATTCAGGAAAATCAATTAGAGTATTGGCATGAAATATTTTCTCACGGGGCTTAGTTCCGATTTCCGATCTGCGTTGCCAGTAATCGTAAACTAATTATAGTACATGAAACTGCACCGCGAGACTCGGGTCCTAGGTATCACCTGTGCAATAGCAGTATGACAGCATAACACATTTGATGTTCTTTAAAAAAAATCTCTATTTTTCAACTACAGCATTCAGAAGATTAAAAAAAAAAGAAACCGAAGCTGGGTGCCTTAATACAAACCTACTGATTTATAGATGATGTAAAGCTTCATCTGACTTGAACACAAGAGAATTAAAGCACACATCAAAAAATAGGCAGCTTCTTTGCTCATGCTTCCTGTTTTCTTTTTGACAGCGTTCTTCCCAAAAGCACACTCTTAAGCCTGAAAGAGACTTCTCTGGAGAATGCTTGATGCCTTTTCCAACTTTTCTTTCTCTGCTTCTGCACGTACAGTACCTGACAAAGTCTCTCACTGCACAGTCATAGAGTGGATTCACAGGTGCCTTTGCCTGATGCCTCCAGTGTCGCTTGCCGCCAGCTTGACGGGAAGATGGCTGTGATCACGACCAGTTTGTCAGCACCACCCAGTGTGTCATGTAACACAACAATGACTCCTCGCTCTCACTCACTTTCTTCATTAGGGTCAGAGCTGAGCTTAAAAGTCTCTGGTGGTGGTGGTGCTTTTGGAGGGGAGAGGATGCTGTTGTGCTGTAGATTTTTCAAAGTATCAGCTCTTTTCATTTCCTAATCTACAAACTAGACTCTAAGTCTCCAGACTTGTCTTTATATCAGGCCAATAGATCCAAGGATGACTTTTTAATATATCCCTCATAAAACTAATTATATTTTGTATCCAGAAAGTCTATTTTTTCCATTCTAGTGACATAATTTTCTAACTCCTCTCGTATTTCCTTCCCTGAGCACAAGCATAATTAATGGTCTCATGTTTCTCACCCGCATCCACCAAAGCAAAGGGAACGCGCTTTGGAATTCTCTTTCATAATATTATCTACTGGGATATTTGCTGATTTAGGTTACATCGAGCCTGGGGGGATAATGACTGACTGGGTAGCTGATCTGTCTTTGCTTTTACAGGTCTCTAGGTAAGAATAGCATTTACTGACACTTGATGATGCCCTGCCCTGTGCCGGGGCTTGGAAGCTGTCCTGCAGAGACTGAAGTGCCTTGCTCCTCTCCGTCTGCTGCTGCAAGATTTGGCTGTGGGACTGCCTAGGTCACAGGTACCTGCAGGCAGTTCAGGGGTTCTGCCTTTTTAATTCTACGGCCTGCTGCTCTGGGGTTTATGTTCCTGTTCCTTTTATGTACCAAAGGTTTTCCTTGGACTGATGTGTTTAAAATGCACTGCTAGGGAGATAGCTCTTGCTTAAAAATGTTCATTTAGAATCCATTTGTCTAGTCAGTACTTCAGCCATTTCTCCACCTGCTGTATGATATGGTCATTGTAAGTGCATGCTCTTGGTTAATGGACCCTGGGATGCTTCACTGGAAATGTTGAAACGGTCCTTTAGAAGGCTTGTACTGTGATGGAGCATCTGTTCACAACATTATGAATGTTTCAAGCATTCTGCTTGACAGCAGATGCTCTGGTTAATAACTATTAGATCTCTCTGGTTACAGGAATATTTGCAATTTAGCAGTAGCTATCCAATTTATCATTTTTGTATTAAGATAAAAAACAATTCAACTAATGATAAATCAGCATCATTCTCCTTAATATTTTCTTATGCTGGTAAATAAGCAATTGACTTTGAACAATAGGGGGTAAAATATTAAAAAAAAAAAAGAATAATTGAATACCAGCTTGTCTTCCTATAAAGAGAAGAGGCAAGTAGGAACTGATGTCAGAATTGCCCAAACTGACAAATGGAAGGACCAGAAGGTAATTTAGAAAAGCCATACTGAAAAACTGTACCACTTTTATGATTAATGCATCGCATCTGGTCTCTCTGCTAAATGATAATATGAATTATGAAGTTTTTCAACTGTATTAAATATGTTATTAGTTGAAGTACACCCAGCAAAGAGACAAAAAAAAATTTGTTAATTAAGGAATGTAAGCTCAGTTCCTAAGAAGTTCCTAAATTCCTAAGAAGGTGTGGGAATACTGTCAATACTGCATTTGCACTTGGTATCTCAGGATCAAAAGAAAGCAAAGGAGGGGGAGGTCTATGACTCATCACGGCCATTTTTTATATAAAGCCAGAAATCACTCTGTCATTCGATAAATGAACCGAGAGCAAAGTTTGACATACAAAAAGAGAGAAGAGTGCGAATTCCAGCCTGCAGAAGGGTGGAGGCTCTGCAAGTTTTCCAGAGACAACTCTTGTATGTTTTTTTATTTCTATAAAGTGGCGGATTCAATTAAAGGCGTAACAGTCCTTGGCTTACAGACCAAAGAAAGTTTGGGAATCCTAGGAAATGGGTGGGTACATAAGTTTTTACAAGTCATGTTAGGTGCTAGGACTACCAAGAAAATAGGAGTATGTCCTCTCCATTGCACGTTGTTCAGTGCTATTCTGAAAAGTGACCACTTGCAATTCCAGGAAATACCAAAGTTCGTCTGGAAGTGAAAATATCAAGGCTTTGGCACTTAAGACCACATTGAGAGAGTTGGAGTTGTTCAGCCTGGAGAAGAGAAGGCTCCTGGGGGACCTTACTGCACCCTTTCAGTACTTAAAGGGGACTTCTAAGAAAGATGAGGACAGACTTTTTTAATAGAGCCTGTAGCGATGGGACAAAGGGTAATGATTTGAAACTAAAAGAGGGTAGATTCAGATTAGATATAAGGAAGAAATTTTTTATGATGAGGGTGGCACAGGTTTTTTATGACACACTGGCACAGGTTGCCCGGAGAGGGGGTAGATACCCCATCCCTGGAAACATTCATGGCCAGGTTGGATGGGTCTCTGAGCAGCCTGATCTACCTGAAGATGTCCCTGCTCACTGCAGGGGGGTTGGGCTAGATGACCTCTAAATGTCCCTTCCAACCCAAACCATTCTATGATCCAAATGAAATAAAGAGCTGTTGTTCATAGCATAAAGGTGCACATGCTGTGTACGGATGCATAGGGCCTTCTCAGCAGCCTGTTCTCTGTCTCAGTTTGCTCATGAGCCCTGAATTTTCCCTTTGCTGCACAGATCTGTCGATGCTCTTGGGTGGTATGCAGAACCTGTTATCACCTTAACTGTTCAGAAGTTTAAAACTACCTTTGGAAGAGGTTAAAAGTCTGCAACAACCACACACAAAAGCGTCCTTGAACATGGAATCCAGGGGAACTAACAGACTTTATTGGTGGTTTTGCATGGAGGACATCTCTTCAGCGAACATAGGCCTGAAGTACTTTCTTGTTTTTGAATAGTGGGTCTTCTCTAGGCTTCAAAAATGTTGAGAGTCAGAGAGAGCAGCAGCGAACGCATGTGTCTGTGGTGTGAGGATTACACAACTCTCTGCTGTATGCATTGACTTCCATATCTAGCAATTTTTATTAGCAGTGCATTAGCTTCATGACTAAAATCAGTATACCTAGTGGTAGTGGTTAAACTTTTGTCTGCTAACCAGAATCCTACTGGTCGTGGAGCAAGTAAATGCCTCCTTTCTAGCTTTCTTATTTCTGATTTCTGTCACTTCAAATGCGTTCAAAATACAGCTGCCAATATTCTCTCTTCGCTGACCACGTTATGATCTCTGTTTTTAAAGCCCCTTTTCTGTGGACTGGGCTCCCTGCCCCAATCCTTCACCAAGCCTCGCCTAGATGTGTGCTGCTCCTTCCTCCAGCCCCGCTGGGGGACGTGGGGCTGCCCCTCCTCCGGGCTGCAGGCCAGGCACTCCCACCTGGCTGCCGACACGTGTGTGCTCGTACAAAGCCCGGGCCTCTGCAAAGCCTGTGCACACCTCAGCCTCTCCTCTCTGTTGTCCTCCATCGCCTCTGTGCACACGGGAATGCTGTTGGCACCTGTTACTCACCAGCCGTCTCGCAGAAGATCTGGGACATCCCCATAGCAGCTGCACCTCTCCTACACAAATCCTCTCGGAAATTTAGCAAGCATGGATCCAGCACTGTGGAAAGGAGAGCACAGGTATTACACATGCTAAACTGCAGCATCCACTTTCAGTTTAATCCTCAGAGCATCCTCTCTAATCCACAGCACTTCTTGAAAGCCTGGGGAGTGGAACCGCCCCTCCTTGTATTTTGAAACAATAGGAATGTCAAGTGCTTAATGAAGAAGCTAAAAATAAAAAAAAAATAGGTTTCTATTCTGCCTTGCATGCAGCAGAATTTCTGTTTAGTTCCTCCAGTCTTTGCTTCAGTTGGCTGTGCCTGAACACTTTGCCACAGGCCTACCTTCTCCCACAAGAGGGGTACACGGGAAGAAGCACTTACAGCAAGAAGAGTGGCTGGCTCTTCTTAAAACAAGCCTTAAAAGATAAATTGTCATTTATTGACATGATAATCTGTGTGTCATCATCCAGCAGCACTAACAGCGTGGTTTCTGCAAACATTTTTTAAAATGCTGAGTCTTCTTGCGTTCAGTGAGAATACCGGCTTCATTTTTCATTCTTTTTCTCAGTCAGATAGCTTTCGTGCCAGTCCTACAGACAGACAAGCACCGGGTCCCTTCCTGCGAGCCCTGCCACAGCCCGCTGAAGAGCATCTGTCACAGCCAGCGTGAGCAGGCTGCTAACGTGGGCCCGGATTACCAACTGCCAAACCCAACGCAGCACCTCGAGTGTACTTTGGAATGTCCGTAACGAAGAGACGTTGAAGCAGCATTGCTCTTCTCCACGCCTCGGCGCAGCCGGACGCGGTTGCGCGGGTGGCGGCACCGAGCTCCCTCGCGGTCGGGACGGGCACCCC